GTCTTGAGCTGGGACCACTTCTCTTTGTTTATTCTAAAAGCTGTAGCTGAGTTTGGATCTGTTTTTAGTTCACGCTTATTTTATCCCACTCTCCCATTTCACTTTGTACATCTCTAAGTCTGACAGTCACACCGAGCATCATCAGAGCATCAGTTCTCCTTTGCAGCGTGTGATTTTCTCTGTTCTGTCTGTACCTCTGTTTGTTCACATGAGTGTAGTTTAGTTTCCCTGAGCCCTGATCACACAGACTCCTGCACAGAGCTGAATTCAACCTCCACATTCACAGCAGGTGCGCTCTTCTCTCTTCTCCTCTCCTCCCCTTTCTTCTCTCTCTCCTCCTCCCCTCACCTCCTTGTTTCTTCTCTCCTCTCCTGTTCTCCCCTGTCCTCCCCCCATCATCTCTCCTCCTCTCTCTCTCTGTCTCTCTCTCTCTCTCTCTCTCTGTCTCTCTGTCTCTCTCTCTCTCTCTCTCTCTCTCTCTCTCTCTCTCTCTCTCTCTCTCTGTCTCTCTCTCTCTCTCTCTCTCTCTCTCTCTCTCTCTCTCTCTCTCTCTCTCTCTCTCTCTCTCTCTCTCTCTCTCTGTCTCTCTCTCTGTCTCTCTCTCTCTCTCTCTCTCTCTCTCTCTCTCTCTGTCTCTCTCTCTCTCTGTCTCTCTCTCTCTCTCTCTCTCTCTCTCTCTCTCTCTCTCTCTCTCTCTCTCTCTCTCTCTCTCTCTCTCTCTCTCTCTCTCTCTGTCTCTCTGTCTCTCTCTCTCAAATGGAGCACAGAACATGTACAAACACTGAATCTTGTTTCTCTCTCAGCTTCTGTTTACAGCAAATCTCATCAAACATGGCCAACATGGTACACTCACCAGTCCAAATTTGGATTTGCAACTACTGTACCTACATGATCAAATAAAAAAATCAGTGACTAGTCTTAAAGGCAGTCCTGTGTGTAAATGTGTTCTGTGGCTTGCAGTACTACAGTAAGCCTCATACTTCTTTCTTCTCTTTCTACATTAAGACATTGTTTTAATTATATTGCATGAGAAGCAGAACACACATGTCTTATCATATAATATTATAATAATATTTCATGAAGATGTGAGTCTGGTCACCGGTGAAAGTCCCAGTTTTTAAACAGGCATGACGGACAGGTGGATTAGCCAATCAGGGACACGCATGGTAAAGTAAAGGAAAAGAATCTCACAAGGGACTGAAAAAAATTGTGGATTTCTGCAGAAAGAATGAGTAAAGCACTAAACTGTGTTCATCTGAAGGGAGAGAAATTAGATTTTATTTGTAAGTGTTCTGTGAGCAATGAGCTCCTTTCACATATTCACTGAAATAAAGACATCTGATTGGATGATCATGTTTTGGTTGAGACACAGCGAAACGTGTGGGGACCACACTCATGTCAGTCTATATAAAAATACAGAGAGATATCATTCTAATATTATGTACTTTTAATTCTAATGATGTACAGTTAATTATAATGTGATATAATGATAACCTCACACACACTCAGTCATCTAACCCACAACCTCCTCACTGTGAGGCAGGAGGCAGAGTGGGTACTCTGTTACACTAGGACATGCACACACCACTCACAAAGACTAGGAGTCTAACCCACAAACTCTTTCCTCCTTTTCATCTCAACCACTTTTTGAGCCTCGGATTGCATTTTGCCAATCTGCTGTTTCCCAGTAAAACCAGGGAGGCAGCTGATCACACATGTGCCCAGGGGGGTTCATTCCAGCTCCAATTTAAATTTAAGTGTCCGTCGACTCAATTTGGTGATTTTCCTTTTCTCTCTCGCCCCCAGCCCGTTCTGTCCTCCTCGTTTGCCTGTGTAAATGTATCGTGCCCTTTTCGATTGGCACCTTTAAATATTTTTATTCAAACTGAAATGAGCCAATAAAACGCCTGTCTGAGCTTAGTCAGGCCTCAAACGACGTGGTTGGGTTTTATGGAGGTAATTAAAGGCGAAGGGCGGTGGCCATATTGTCAAGATTTACACAGAAAATGGTGTTGTGGTAGTACTTTTGAAAGGTTCTGCAAAAAGTACTAAAATGTCATGGGATGGAATTGGAAATAGGAAAGAGGTATGAATAATGAGGTACCAGTTAAATGTGGACTGAAACAGGATTACACCAGGACTCACCAGGACTACAACAGAACTACACCAGAACTGCATGGGATCTGCACCAGAACCACACCAGGACCACACCAGGAACACACTAGGACCGCACCAGGATTGCACGAGGATTATACCAGGACAACACCAGGCAGACGCTAGGACTACATGAGAATTGCACCAAGATGACACCAGGACTACACCACAAGTACACCAGTACAACATTAGGACTACACCCGTACCTCACTGGGATTACACCAGAACTACACCACAAATACACCAGGACGACCCCAGGACGACCCCAGGACGACCCCAGGACGACCCCAGGACGACCCCAGGACGACACCAGGACGACACCAGGAGGACACCAGGACGACACCAGGACGACACCACGAATACATCAGGACGACACCAGGACGACACCACAAATACATCAGGACGACACCAGGACGACACCAGGACTACACCACAAATACACCAGGACGACACCAGGACTACACCACAAATACACCAGGACGACACCAGGACTACACCACAAATACACCACTACTTATAACGCTAATACACGCAGAGCGAAGCAGTACGGGGAGGGACCGACACTTCCACACTTTGGTCACGTGAGCGGCTGCTGCGAGACGAGCTCCGAGGCAGTGCTAAGGAGCAATTTATTTCAGAAAGAACAAGACGTGCTCCGGAGCTCCGACTCATTTGCCCATCGCTAGTTGATAGAGCTAAAAGATGGATAGATTTAAATAGAACTAAAACCACTAATAATAGCAGAAATAAAACCAGGACTAAACTCAAATTTCATCTTTCAATGTACCACCAGATGAAGCATAGATACCACCAACAGAACCAAGAGCACATTTTGAGAACGCCCAATTTTTTATAGCCATTTTTATCTCCTTGCATTCGTGTTCTTTTCCTGTTGATAATCATTTTCTGATATTGAGTCAATGAAATGAAAAATGGGCCAGATGTGTGATCGCTCTTCGTCAGGACTAAAGACTAAAGACTTTCAATTTCCTCTGAACATTGTTTGTGCAGCCGCCGAGTGCACCAGGAAGGAAATGTAGAAATGAATTACAAGCAAATCCAAATTACTGGTAGAGTAAAAATGGATAAATAGGGAGTAACCCAGTTCTAAACCAGGACTAAGCCAAGACTAAAACTGGGACTAAAGCTGGGAGTAAAGCTGGGACTAAATAAGAAATAAACCAGGATTAAGCCATGATTGTAGAGTTTGCTTTATTTATATTGAAGGTTTTTGGACTAAATCAGGACTGAGTAGGATCTTACAAGGTCTTAAACTGTACATCAAACTAAACCGGGACTAAACCAGGACTAAACCAAAACTAAAGCAGGGCTAAACCAGAATTAAACCAGGATTAAACCAGGACTAAACCAGAAATAAACTAGCAGTAAATTAGGACTAAACCCGAAAATATTTAAGCTTGTCAGATCTGAACTTGAACTGCAGTACCGTTATACATCTATGCAGCTCTGATTGTACCTGCAGCACAGTTTTAGAGCCACCACACTGCTATATGAAGTCATTAGATGCAAAACAGAGGAGTGGTGAGAGAAGTGGGCCAGGGAGGTGAGTCAGAACAGCTGCTGATGTTGTAATCCTATTAACCCAAATATGAGGCTGGTACTGTATTCAGAACGGCTGGAGTCGCATTAGCGTGTCATTTATGTGCATTTATTTACATTTAACACTGGGATTAATGTCACCACACTTAATATCTTATTCCACGTGTTTGGCTGTTCACTTGGTGCGTTTGACACAGTGAATTATTTTGCATTCATCTAACCACATCATCACCTTTCACTCCTGTGAACTTTGACTACATTTATAAACCTCCTCTTCTTCTTTTATATTATGACCAAAATATATGACAAAGAGATGAATGTGCATGATGGTGAAGGTGGCACCATGACATTTAGCTTTGTCTCTTCACTCTTTATGTTCAATGGTCACATTTTATTTTATTTTTTATATAGCACTTTACATCAAGGAGCCATTCATCCATTCACACCGTCATACACACTCTCACTATAGTTTACACACTACCAAGGGTCTTGCACATGCAAGAGACAATTAAATTCTGTCCACTCGGCATAAGTTTTGACTGAGGGATTACACAGTCTTGCCCAAGGACACAATGACAGCATTCAACTGTAGGAGTGGTGGATCTGACTGCTCAACCAATGACATTTATACTGAGAGCAAGATTTGAACCGTCAACCTTCAGATCAGTGGGCAATACATTCTACCATCTGAGCTAGTGTTGCTCCATCCCTTTAGGGACAAGAACAGTAGGAATAGTTGTAGTACTTGTAGTAGACATGCACTTGTCATTTTTTTCCAGTCTGGAAAGAAGTATTAGTATTTGTATTTGTATTGGTGGTATTATTGGTTGTCAGTCAGGCACCTTCGCATAGCTACAGACTGTCAACTGAAATGTTTGTGGATGAATTCCCATTATAATGAAATTTGTTGTTATGTGATGGATTGTTTTGGAGGTTTGGAGGACTTTTATTCTATTACAGGTGGTTTTATAGCCCCAAAATACCTAGAAAAACAGACATTCTGACTGTTAGTGGGGTCGCCTCTCCACGGTTCTGACTTGTAACTTGGTCTGGTTTGGTCTCCATGATGATAGGAAGGATTGATACCACACAGTGAAACATTCCAGACAAATCAACAACATCTCCATGGAGAAGAGCATTTGACTTACCGTCCACTAGAAAAATTTGACCTCTCCTATTTATGTGTTTTTGTTTTGTTTTGTTTTCAGTATCAACACTTGTTCTACTATTTTATTTATTTATTGACTGCCCATCTAAATCAGTATTTTTGCCTGTGTTTTTTTCAGAAATGGAAAGCTGGCTGTCCCTCCTCCTCTCCATTGCCGCCTTCTCTCTGTCACTCTCTCAGGAAGACCCCCACCGCAGCTTCAGCTCCGAGACCCTCATCAACAATGTGGTCCAGGACAATCAGACGGGTCGCATCTACGTGGGGGCTGTCAACTCCATCTACCAACTCAGCCCTGAGCTGGTGAGGGAGGCCAGGACTGAAACTGGACCCAAAGAGGACGCTCCGACATGCACTCCTCCAGCCTCGGCCTGTCAGGACACCAAATCCATGGACAACCACAACAAACTGCTCTTAGTCCATCCCTCAAACGGATCTCTTATCGTCTGTGGAAGTAGATATAGGGGCATTTGCTCTCTTCTTAACCTAACCAATGTGGATCAACAACTTTACTACAGCGATAGCAAAGGAGAGAGGACTTACGTTGCTAGTATCGAAGACAATGTCAATGTAGTTGGAGTTATGTCCACTTACACAAGAGACGGCCAAAACTTTCCAGTATTTCTAGTTGGTAAGGGCTACGGAAGCCTGGATAGCACAAAACTGATAAGCACTCGCATTTTGCAAGATTTGCGTGAATGGGTAGTTTTTGAAAGCATCATCGAAGCGTCCACAGTCCAAACCACGCCATTTGTACCTAAGTATCTTCATGATTTCCGACATGCGTTCAAAGAAGACGGATTTGTCTATTTCCTGTTTTCGCGGACTCTCGATGGTACGGATGGCAAAAATTTTACATTCGTGTCCCGCCTTTGTGAATCAGATCCTCACTACTACTCACACACGGAGCTGCAGCTAAACTGCGGGAAGGATAATCGCTACAATAAAGTCCGAGCGGCATATGTGGCTGCTCCTGGAAAAGAACTGGCTAGGAGCATGTCAGAGTCTGGTTTATACGGTAATGTGGTGTCTTGGCGTAAGGTTTTGTTTATGGTGGCGAGTTCAGATGACAATCCAGGCGAGTCAGCGCTGTGCATGTACCCACTGGACACCATCAATGAAAAACTGGGGAACATCATCAGCGCCTGCTACATCGACTCGGGGAAGATCTCTGGAGACCCAGCTGTGGACATCCCATACTCCTCCAAGACTGATGAGTTCTGCACCTCCAAAATAGCTGTAAGTGCACTGAGTTTTCAAATTTTTTCTCTCAAACTGAAAACACTGTTCCACCTTGTGATGTCATGTATTATACAGGAAGTGCTCCACTGTGTTTTTAAACGCTATACACCGTCACTAGTATCATTTGGATGATTTTCCAATCTCTGCTGAACTAAAGGTAAAAGGAGCTGTTAACTCGTAAACTATTGCTTCATGACATCACAAGGTGGACTAGACCATTTTGAGCTTTGGAGGTGTAATAATAAAGGATTACCCAAACAAAACAAAAAAAACTCCAGATATGTTTTTGAAAAGGTAACAGAATTATAACATAGCTTAAAGCTCACAAGAGTCAATTTTGTGTAATATTTTAAGTCTTGTCCTCAATTATGGTTACTATCTCTGTATCCATATTATACTTGTTTCTCTTCTTGTATACCCACTCAAAGTTATATTTAGATGGACTCATGCCTGTGTATGTAATCTGTATTCTCCTGCAATCAAGACGCCATTGTGCTGAAAAGTCCTGTTTTCCCTGACCCCCGAGATGATTCAATTGTGTGTTTTGGCAAAAAAGGCAGGTGTAAATCAGTGCCACTGTTTTCAACTCAAAGTCTGAGGTCTTGTTTCTTATAAGTGGTTTTAGATTATTATTACTATTTAGAATGTCCAAAATATAAAACTGAATCCATGGGTTTCATGGACTGTGTAAAGTATAATAGTAATGGTTTTGCAGTTGACGGAAGTAGCAGTGGCAGTGGCAGTAGGAGGTGTCGCAATAGTAGCTGGTTAGTTAGGGATGCACCTATCCCGGTTGGGCCTTTAACTGGATGTAATAAGACTATTTACAGGTATAATGTTGTCATAATGTAATTTGAATGATAAAAAAGGTTTCATCACAAGTTCAACAAGTTTCATAATAAGTTTACTGTTTTAAAGAAATAAGTGCCATTTTCAGTCCTTTACATTGTATCGGTTAATATTGGGTATTGGCAGATACTTAGTCAAAGCATCAATATTAGTATTGGAACTGGTAGTTGTAGTAGTTGAAGTAGTAAATCTTTAGTATTTCTCAGGTTCATATTTTCATTATTGTTGTTTTAAATATTGAAGACATTTGATTGTAGGAGCTGCTGGTGAAATAAGGTAAAAAGCCATTTGTATGTGTTAAGTTGTATTATGTGAGTGGAAGTTATTAAAAGAAAATGAGTGGGATATTGGATTCGCCACTAAACCATATTTAATAATGCATAAATGCCAGAGCTTACTTTAATGTCACTGCTTTACTTTGTGTTTGTAAATCTCTCCTCTGCTCCACACATCTGTGCCCCTGGATCAGGATGAGTCCCTCGTCTCATCTGCAATAGAAAGTTTTTCATTATAGTCATTTCTCTGTTAAAATCTTATAGTTATGAAATGTGCTTAAAGAAAAGGAAGATACAAAACCATTTAAAGGTGCAGTGTGTAATGTGGCCATACCTGCTCAATTTCCGATCTGGTCAAATCTCAGAAGCTAAGCAGGTCCAGTTCTGGTTAGTACTTGGATGGGAAACCGCAGGGAATGCCTGATGCCACCGTGGGGTAGCAGTGGCAGAACGGTTGTTGTGTCCTTAGGTGGGACACTACACCCACATTGCCCTGTATAATAGTGTTGAGTGTTGGTGAGGATTGGGTAGCTACAGTAGTGGTTTACAATGGTATCTTACCAGTGTGGAGTGAATGAAGAATGCACTTTGAAGCTTTTTAGGTGTCTTGAAAGGCGCTACATAAATCCAATGCATTATTATTAGTATATAACTTTTTCCAGCAGAGGGTCTGTCACCTGGTTGTTTACATAGAGGTGTTATTGTTTTGCCTGGAATGTTGCAGATTATGGCATTAAATGTCTCTTCTCTTGTCTCTATTCTACCAGCAAACTTGCATAATGCATCTAAAAAGTCTGAATCAGCCAAGAGACTATTTTCCATATAGCCCATATAAGCCCATGTAGTACTTGATGAAATCAAAGCAGGAGACTTGGATTTCTGACCTTCTTTTGCCTGTCCATGTTACAGAAGGACACTCTGGAGCGGTATAAATGTGGTGCAGACTTCCTGCCCTCTCCTCTGGCCAGTAAACCCAAGTACGCTCTGAAGGCCCAGTCAGAGCTCACCAAACCTGAGCTGCTCACTGCTGTGTCTGTGGCTGTGGAGAACGAGCACACCATCGCTTTCATCGGTAACAGCCGCGGAGAGGTCTTCAAGGTAAACTACAGGGGTCAGGCCTGGTTTAGTCCTGTGCTAGTTCTGGTTTAGTCCTGTGCTAGTTCTGGTTTAGACTTGGTCTGGACCTGATTGGACCTAGTTTTCTTACGAAGTGGTAAAAGTGAGATAATATAAGTATCAATTGTGGGAAAAGTGGGAGGACAGATCAGATTTCTGTGATGGAATTCAACTGTTAACTGTCAAATTGTAGATTTCTTCACCTCGTTTATGGTTCATATGTCTTCTCGTTTTCTCTGTCAGTGTAAATATTTAACTCACAATAGCTTAATAAAGTGTTGCTATTTTTCAAACTCAAAAACTTGACATGGATCATAAGTTTAATTATTTCTTTCAAAAACTGTGACTCTCAGAGTTTTTCAGGCCTCTGCCCTTCAGTTGAAATCGTTACATCATCAGTTTCTATCTTTGATCAAGGTTCATTCTGTCTTCGGTTATAAACTTAGCATTAGTTATTTTTTTGTCAGAGAGAAGAAGGGAGTTGCTTACCTGCTTTACATGTTTCGGCTCCTTCCTGTGCCCTCTTCAGAAACATGTTGTGTGATAGTGTAGTGATGAGTTTTGTAGCTTGCTTTACTTGGTTTTATCAGACGGTTTTGACCCTTGTATTTGTATTCTTGGTTTTGCTTTGCACTTTTGACATCTTATTAACCAATTAAATCTAACGTGTGTGTGACAGGTCCATCTGACCTCAGAGCCGTATGAGTACAGTAAGGCCTTCACTGACCCCATGAGAGAGAGAGTCAACAAGAACCTGTTCTTCGACCTGAGCCACAGCCACCTGTACATCACCACCGAGAAGAAGGTAGGACCCCACATCATTTCATTTTGTATGTAACTATTTTTGTTAAGGTAAAAATATATTGAAATGTGTGGTTTCATAGCAAACTTTATCTTGCTAAAATAAGTTGTGTTCTTATGGGTTTTAAGGAAAGTAAGCTGCTTTTTTCTGCTTGTTTTTATGGTCTAGAAAAACTTGTATTATTTCTTCTTGCCTCTCCACAGATCTGACCTATAACTTGGTCTGTTGGCAATACCTGCTTGTTTCCATGGAGATAGATTAGTTTAATATCTTGATAATATCTCTATGAAGACAAGCAGGTGGCAGACCTTTCACCATAAAATTTGATAGTGCACCTTGAACCTAGACTAGAACGGGACTATATCTGGACCAGACCCTGAACACTTTAACATGAGCTGTTCGGTTGTCAGTATCAATATCATATATTTTCTGTGCTGAATTGCCTATATTTTTACTTTGTGGTCCCAGTTTTGTTCGACCATATTTCTTACTTTTCTGTTTATTGCAGATCACCAAGGTGCCAGTTCAAGAGTGCCTCAAACAGCCCAACTGCCAGTCGTGTGTGGGCCTGAGGGACCCGTACTGTGGCTGGTGTGTGCTGGAGGGAAGGTGAGCTCCAAACAGAACAAGTAAATCACCAAATCTCTTACAACCAGCTGTGGAAGGTAACGAAGTTCAAATATAAAAGTGCAGTGTTTAAAGGTTGTATAGAGGATTTTCCAAGGAACGAGAAATCCAGCGACTGTTTGTCCTTTTTCAAATGTTGCGCATGCGTGAAACCACCTCCCCTCCCCTACAGCTCCCTACGTAGAAACGCCTTCTCCCGCCTCCTCACTACGCCAGAAACAGGTTTGTTTACAGCCGGTGAGCTGCACATGACTTGTAAACAACTAACTACAGTGTTGGTTAGGCAAGGCGGAGAAGTGAGGAGCGGGGGGAGCGGGTGTGCGGACATTTCGTTCGCGGACGAGAAGTGAGGAGCAGGGAGAAGAGCGGAGCAGGGAGAGAGGAGAGAGGAGAGGGGAGCGGTGCGCGGAGATTCCGTGCCCGTAGAAGTGAGGAGCAGGGGGAAGAGCGGAACGGGCAGCGGGGACAGGAGTAGGAAAGGGGAACAGAGAAGGTTGCGCGGAGATTCAGTGCGAATGAACTAGCTACAACACGCAGCAGCAAGCGGACTCTTTCTTTGCCTTGAAAATTACGTTTTCAGACATAGGATATCGCTTTCGTGTCCTGAAAAACGTTTGTCTCGCTCTTGGAAATAAAGTACGTTTTCATAATAAGCAGAAGTTTCCTGTCCAGGAGTAATTTGGCGACCAATGCGTCAGTCTTTAGACCCTGCGTCTGCTTCAGTCGCGCCATCGCTGGAATGAATCTACAAGAATCACCTTAGTTTGGCTTCGCTGCTTTTCCCCTTGTCTTCTTCTTTCATCGACCTCAAAAACGGACTTTCTTTTGCGGCTAACTGCTCCTGGATTCTTGTCTGCCATTGCAACAAACTTTGTGCTAACTGCGAGGAAGATATAGGTCAAAAAAAGCCGCTAAGAACTGTTGCGTTGGTGGAGTAAACAGCGTCTGTGCGTCTTGCGTCTGTGGACTGCGTGACAGGCGTACGTAAACCACGTACCGGCGGCGCGCAGGCAGGTCAGTTACGCTAGAAACGTAGGGAGTTTGATTGATAGCCTGTCAGCTAACAGATAACGAGGCAATGTCGTTATCTATTGGCAAATGTTTAGCTGGCCCCACCACGTCCAGAGTTGATGAATTTTTATTCTCTTTTTTTTGGTCATCATAATTACAAGGCTACTGCACCTCTATAATGCTATCATTGACAACTTGAAACAAAAAAAACAAAAAAAAAATCCTCCATACAACCTTTAAATACAAATTTTAGGTATCGATGCATAACTTAAGTCCATCTTACAGTGTATACTTTTGGCTTTTGCTTCTCTTCATTTGAGAACGTGTATTTTTAATTTCTATTCCACTACATTTTAGATCTGGACTGGAAAGTAAAAAAAAAAAAAAAAAAAGTAATTTTCTTTATGGTGTGAGTCCAGTTGAAATGGCTGAGACACATTTAGTCTGAGTTAAGGACCCAACTTTGAGCGTACCAAATACTAAAAAATTTTTAGAAAAATTTATTTAGCAATCAGTTTGATTACTCAATGAATTAATCAATTGAATCACTTAAAAATCAGCCAAATTCTTCATCAAAATCACTTCAATTCATCCCCAAATTGCTCAAAAAATCTCTGCAAAATATTTTTACTTTTACTCTTAAAATATATTTTTAACATGTACAGGCACTTCAATATTTTAATACTTTTACTTAAGTAGATTTTCTCACACAATGCTTGTACTTTTACTTGAGTAAATTCTTGCCTCTGAATACTTGTACTTGTACTTAAGTAACAAAAATGAGTACTTCATCTAATGCTGCTTAAAATGCATACAGAATTATAATGAAATCAGTCATTGATTAGAGCACACTGAAACACTGAGTTTACTTAAATATTATTTTATATTATGCACATTTTTGATCTGTGTTCTAATGTAGTTTCCTCATCATAATCACCTGGAGTTGTGTTCTGTTTCATTCACACAACACACAGTCCCTGCAGATTTAGGTGGAGTTCTTCTCTCAAAACACTCTGAAAACACTATGTTCCACCTTGTGATGTCATCAAGCACGTCACTCTGTTTTCAAATTCCAGAAACCTTCACTAGAAACATTTGGATCATTTCAGCCCTGGAATTGCCAAACTTTGAAGCTACATCTGTTGTTTAATTAAAACTACCACTTAATGACATCACAAGGTGGAACAGAGCAGGATTACTCAAACGCTAAACAAAACACAACTCCATGTTTTTGATGGTACAGCATTCTAACATTGCTAATAGCCTAAATTTTGCATAATGCAGGACTTTTAAGACCATAGCACTAGAACATCTCTGCTCTTCCTAATATTACATGTACCAACTCAAACACAACACAGTTTTAACATTGTGGTGAAGTGGCTTGAAAATCTCTTGAAATATTGCCATTTGAGTATAAAGGTGCAGTGTGCAGACTTACTTAAGGTCCTAATGGCCAATAAGTACCCACATAAGCACGAGTATCAGAGCTATAAATAAGATAATTAGCTGACTTGAAGAGAAAATATGTCTAAGTACTGCAGTCTGTGGTGCAATCAGCCTCTCGGTTTGAAACCTCTCCTTATGCTATTTCTAAAGTCAAACACAAAAGAAGGAAAAAGTGCAAGTTGTGTCCACTATAGAAAAACTTGAAAATGTGTTACTTTCTTTACATTTTTTATTTTTATTTTTAATTTTTTTGCAATCCCACAAGGTTTTTACTCCAGGTGTCCTGTTTTAATTATCCAGCTATCCAGTGTTTCAGAGGTGAAAATAGAAAGAGCTTTTGGAGAGATTCAGAATAGATGTGTTTAAAATGAAAAAAAATAATATGATTGCTCCTTTTTGTTTGGAGATCCCACAAGTGAACATGTTTTTACACCAGATGCCCTTCCTGTTTTAATTATGCAACAGGAAATGTTCAAATCATGTTAGGTTAGTGTCTGTAACGAAGCAAATCCAATGTTCCCAATATCAAGGACCAAAAATTCTACCCTTCTACAGACTGTGATATGTTTTTGTACAATATTCCTTGATGGCTTCATTTTGGTATCTATCAAACACATTTAAAGATGTACTCTGTACTCTGAAGCCACCTTCTTTGTCTCCATGGAGATGTTGTTGCTTTGCCAAGAATGTTCCACAGTGTGTCATTTGAGCTATCTTTTCCCATGGAGGTGAGGAGTTGAGGTGATCCAGCTTAAAGCCAGAATGTACCTTTGTCTCTCAAGCTATTTTGAGCAATAAACGCACCCATGATGAAACAAGTGCAATATAGATCAATTTAATGCCATATTGTGGAACATTCCTGTTAAAGAAATAACATCTCTGTGGAGACGAGAAGGTGACGGATCCCACAACCAGAGAAATGACATTTAATTCTATATAATAGAGGACCAATGAGCTCCTTCCACTCACATGCGTCACTGAAATAAACAAATCTGATTGGACGATTCTGGCTTGAGATGCAATGGAGAACATGGAGACCAGGCTGATCCCTCTCTGTGAAAAATAAAGAGATATTTTGGATTTGCTGGGAAGGTCTGGTAACAAAACGCACAACAAACAAAATACTTTCTAATCCCCACTCATTGGTTTTTTTCCCTGGTAAATTGTAATAGCTTTATAGTTTCTCCATATTATTCCCTGGTGGTCTGCACACACATGTACACGCAAACACACGCTCACACACACACGTCAAGCGCGCTCACACACACACTTCACAGCCTCACGGCAGGACATGTGTTCAGGTTTATTACAGTGGATGTGTGTTGCCCTTCACTTCTCTCTCTCTGCTCCTGTCCGTGCACCGACCTCATGCAGGGTCCCCGCTCGCTGTAATTTACTCTCATCAATGCATATTTACCCAGTCTACAGCCACACAAAGCCTGCACACACACATATCCTACGCTCCCACATCCCACTGAAATGCATGATGTAACCTGTAACATGTAATCATGCTCGCCTGCCTCCTGGAGCTCCTGACGTACTTTTGATTGCTCACTTTTAATTTATAGCTTCATCTTTTTCAATGTGATGTTGATGCAAAGTATTATTCTCTGAGGCTGCCACAGAGAAAATAAAGCCACAAAGCAGGGGAATAAGTAGCCCTGGTTCAGTCCTGCTTTAGCCCTGCTTCAGTCCTGCTTTAGGCCTGGTTCAGTTCTGCTTTAGCCCTGGTGCAGTCCTGCTTTAGGCCTGGTTCAGTCCTGCTTTAGGCCTGGTTCAGTTCTGCTTTAGCCCTGGTTCAGTCCTGCTTTAGGCCTGGTTCAGTCCTGCTATAGGCATGGTTTAGTCCTGCTTTAGGCCTGGTTCAGTCCTGCTTTAGCCCTGGTTTAGTCCTGCTTTAGGCCTGGTTCAGTTCTGCTTTAGCCCTGGTTCAGTCCTGCTTTAGGCCTGGTTCAGTCCTGCTTTAGGCCTGGTTCAGTCCTGCTTTAGGCCTGGTTCAGTCCTGCTTTAGCCCTGGTTCAGTCCTGCTTTAGCCCTGGTTTAGGCCTGCTTTAGGCCTGGTTCAGTTCTGCTTTAGCCCTGGTTCAGTCCTGCTTTAGGCCTGGTTCAGTCCTGCTTTAGGCCTGGTTCAGTCCTGCTTTAGCCCTGGTTCAGTCCTGCTTTAGGCCTTGGTTGCACCAAGTTCTCATGATTATTGCAACATTGAAATGGAACTGGAACTGTTTTTCATGCTGAATTAGTTTCTGGTTCATGTAAAGTAACAGAGGATCCTTTGTGTCCAGATGCACGCGGCGGTCTGAGTGCAGGCGGGCGGAGGAAAAGAACGGCTGGCTGTGGAGCCCCAGGCAGCAGTGTCTCAAGATCGTCTCCTTCTTCCCCCCAAACCTGTCCTGCAAGAAGACCCAGACGGTACACTCCACTGTTTTACATGGACAGACAGATGAGATAAGGAGACTTTAGGTGTCCAGAATAGTATCTTACGGTTTAGGTCCTAGACTACACAAAATTTATTCTTGTGAGCTTTAAGTCATTTTCTCAGAGGTAGTGGTTTAGAAATACTGACCCATATTACACTGTTTCCTGATCTCTTATAATATTATTTCCTCATCACACAGACTAGGATTTGTGTTTTGTTTCATTCACACTTGTTTTACACAGTTAAATATGTGTAAATGAAATAACACAGGCTGAGTTCTTCTCTCAAACAGAAAACATTCCACCTTGTGATGTCATGTGATTGATTTCAGCCCTGGAATTGCCTATCTCTACTGAGCTAAAGATAAAAGGGGCTGTTCACTTGAAAACTACTGCTTCGTGACATCACAAGGTGGAATAGAGCATCTCGAGCTTTGGAGATGTAGACAGACTAGGTAAATAAAGGGTTACTCAAACATGTGTGAATGAAACAAATGTCTGTTTTTAAGGAGGTAACGTAACGGTAACATGAGTCCATTTTGTGTAATATAGGACCTTTAAGTAAATGATTCTGACTGGTCACCTACATTATCAGGACCAATACAAATCTCCACTGGGGCAGTATATAAACTAGCAATGCGAATTAGGACGATATTAAATGAAATAGTAATATAGCCCTGAGACAATCTGATGTTATCACATAAAGGCTCACTAGGTAACTTTTCTTTTGTACATTACCCAGCTCTCTTACAAACCCAGTAAAAATGTATTAACCACAGATCCCACGTTCACACACTTCACTCCAGCATACAATATTGGTTTAGTTTGAAACCTGCTTCAGCTCTGTATCGATCTGGTGCACTCCAAACACATATTAAATCCAACATGGCCAATCGCTCCTATAGCCTTTAGATGGAGCAGGGCACAGTGAAAGTTCATATTTTGTTCATTCCTTCACTTCTTTTCTATTACTGCCTCTGTTCTGACGTATTCTTATATTTCTAACCACTCCACTACCCCTCTCCTGTCGCCATTTTCACTTGGGGCCATTATAGAAAATAGCTCTATTATACATTTGAAAAGAGGTTTTACAAGAACAGACAATGATGTAGCTTTTTTAAACTTTAATAAATTCAAACAGGAGGTCAAGGCATGGCCCCTCTTCATATCCAGGTGAAGATCAAGATCTTTCCTCCCAACACGTCCAACACAAGTCAAAAACTACACCTACTTAAGGGATGCCAAAGTCTCAAAGTTGAATGTTTAATGAGAAAAACACACACACACACACACATACATGCACACATACAGTTACACAAAAAAAATCTAGTATCGTTCTTTCTTTAACTGTTGCTTCTATCAAAAAAGCATGTAATTCAAATAGCTTGTTCTTTTCCATTTATTCAAGAGATTTCATTCAAATTGTGTTGGAAAATAATAATTTCATGGTGACTTTTTCACCCCGACTTTTTCCCCCTGTGCAGGTGAAAATCAACATCCCCTCTCTCCCTGTCATTGGGCACTCGGACCGGCTCCACTGCAAAGTCAAAGAATTCCAAAGCCCAGGGAGGATGTCTGATTCGGGGCAGGTCTCGTGTGAGCTCCCCCAACCCTCCATGATTCCACAGACTCTAGACGACCAAGGTAGGCCCTCAGATTATACACATATCACTGACTGGGAAACTGAGACTAGTAACAAGATCACGGAGGTGGGTCCCCAGGTACAGCACTTTTGCACCCATTACTCCTGAAATGCTCCAGTAGCATGGACGGATGGGTCAAATACAGAGCATAATAAAGTGTTCCTTAACCTGAACCTCAACACAAAACATGCACAATAGGTCAAATCTTCCAGCTGAGGTCCTGACCAAGACTAGCTCAAGATCTGAAGATGGGTCCCCAGGCGCTGCTCCTGAGAGGCACTTGGTTGAAGGATGGGTCAAATGCAGAGAAATTAATATCACTCACAAGGGATCAATAAGGTGCACTTTATAATTGCATAGGGCATAATTGAACCCACAACCTCGTTCCTATGAGGGCACCAGCTATTCCCTATGCCAACACGACCATCAGTGAGAGGTTTTTAGTAAGAGCGTACCCAGACACGTATTTAATACTCAATAATAGACCTTGAAAGTGCCGGCAATGAGTGGAATTTGAACACAAGTTTGTGCCCCGAGCTCCTGTTCACTCTGCTTTATTAGACAGAGGTTATTTCTCGGCCAGATATATTTTTGAAGTCACAGATTCAATTTAAGTTGAGCTTTGCAGGTTTAATTCAGTCCTTATCCACTGGCCTCTCAGTCTAATCCCCCTCTCCCTCTCTCTTTCTGCCCTCAGACTTTGTTGCTGTGGCCATAACCGTTTTTGTCAATGACTCTGTGGAGCTCGCCACTCGGGATTTCAAATTCTACAACTGCGCCGCCACTGTGAAGAAGGCTGAAAATACTCCGTAAGTCTGATATTGGACAAAATACTCTTACTTCATGATCAGAATATGTCAGTTTGGAGGGCCCGTCAAATGCTTTTCTCCATGGAGATGTCATTGCTTTGTCTGGGATGTTGCAAAGTATCAAACAAACAGCTCTACCTTACATCTATTTAATTACAGGTGGTCTTGTGGCTCAAAAATACCAAGAAAAACAGGCATTCTGACTCTGAGTGGGGTCATCTCTTCACAGATCTGACCTGTAACTTGGTCTGGTTTGGTCTCCGTGAAGATAGAAAGGTTTAACAGCATACTGGGAAATATTTCAGACAAAGCAATAACATCTGCTCATGGGCCAGCAGGTGATGGATCCTGCCCCAGAAAAGTTGTGCAATGCCCCTTTAAGGGACGATGCATATTAATGAACATTACATGTGTGAATAAATCCATGAGATTTGATTGCTTTACCTGGAATGTTTCCCACACTACACTGAAAAGTTTCAGAGTATGGCATTAAACTGATCTATTTTGCATTCATTCAAATACACCTTTTTACTATTTAATAATGAGTATGACTTTATAATGTTCAGAAATACTTTGCAACAAAAAATGTATTCTTATTACCCCGGGCTTGCCTTTCCACAGATCTGATCTCTTCTGACTTATTCTTACTTATTATTCTATTGCAACCATGGCAACCCATTTAAACAGTGTTTTTCTATTCACGTGAGCTGCCAGGTCTGAAAAACAAAAATAATTTTTGACAAGGCAAAGTGAATTTAGACAGAAAATAAAATCAAAACACATCCAGCTTTTCTTTGACTCTGTTGGTGCATCAGAGGCACTTTTTCCCTAAACACAGTTACACCAAACAACACACACTTTGTGTTAGTGTGTTGTGTTAGGCTCAGTGTTGATTTTTGACAGTATATTTTTTCACTTCAGGTTATGGTTAGAGTTAAGATCAGAGTCGAGTTTTAGAACAGGTAACTTAGGGTCTGGGATAGGTTTACTTACAGGGTCTTGGCAAAACTGAGCTGTAATTTTTAGACAAAAAGAAAATTATAAATAAAGATCTTAGTTAACTGTATTACAAAAAGTACTGCCAGTGTCTCTGAACCTTAATATTTGCTGTAATTCCATGTGCTGATTATGAAATGAACTCACTAAAAATACAGCTCACAGTAATTGCTTCGGAAGCTAAGCCCCGGACAAGATGCAGAGAATTTAGGGCGTCCCTTGTTGTTTGTCTCCATGGAGGTGTTATTCTTTTGCCTTGAATGTTCCGGAATATGGCATTAAACATATCTGTCTCCATGAAGACACATGTAGTGCAACAAGGCCAAAATTCACGTCAGATCTGTGGGCAAACAAGTGAGCAGCAAACCTTCAGCTACAGAATGGCCCTTTAAAAATGCATCACTCTTCTTCCATCAGTTTTATTGGAATCGTGTTGAAATCATAAATGAAGCAGTACTTTCTGCAGCTTGACTCTCTCTGTGTGAATATGAGGACTTCAAGGCTGTTTGTAAATCATGATTCATGGGACTTTGAACGCACCTCTTGCATTTTTCTCCCCACTCTCGCTCTTATGGCCAAAACAGGGAAATTGCATCAGTTTCTTTTCATTAATCAAAAAACCAAAGTCGATGTTGCTATTTTTGCATTGTTGTTTTTTTTTCTTCATGTGATGAACGAGCTTTGGTAATGGAGAGCTGCACTCATCGTTTTCATTGTCAGCACCATGGATTTTCCCTCTCTGATGAGTTTGCATGTTTACATACATTTTATATACAGTGCTGCTGCATTTGTGTGGAGAGGTGTGCACTGGTGCAATTTAAAGCTGCACTGTGTAACTTTTTTTTGATCTGCTTGTCTCCACGGCAATGCTATTCCTTTGCATGAATTAATATGCTGATCAATCTTGCATTTATTTAAAGGTCTTATATTACACAAAATTGTCTCTTTTTTGAGCTTTGTCATTTTCTCGTTAAACAAAACACAACTCTGGGTCTTTTTTTAATAAGCAACAAAACAACATTATAACATAGACCATAAAATAGTGTAATATAGACCCTTTAATTACAGGTCTTTTTATTACTCAGAATGCGTTGCAAAACATATGGATACAGTTTTTTGCTGTGTTTTGTGGCTTCGTGTTATGATGAGTCCTTGTTTTACTGAAATCAATACCACAGTTTGAATGGTTGAAATTAGCATGACACAAAGACTGCAATTATGTAGGAAATACAATGTCCTGTGATGATAACTATGTCTTTGCACCACCATGGGGCTGTTCACCCTGTAGTTCAGACCTCTACCAGCAGGCTCTGAAATGCCCCTGTGTGTCAGATGCCCTCCCTGTGTCAGATGCCCTCGCTGTGTCTCCATAGGGTCTTATTCAGTGTCAAATCTGTGAACTCTCTAGTTTAGAGCTATGTGAACATGTTCTGAAATGTCCCTATGTGTCAGATGCTCTCCCCTGCATCTCCATGGGGTTTTTGTGTGTGTAAAAGCTGTTAACCCTGTAGTTTAAACCTCTACAAACACATTCTGAAATGCTCATCAGTATCAGTTCATGATCCAATCTCATCTCAAATGTTCCTGCTGCTGGAGTGAAATGAACACTCTGAACACGATCTTGATATTTAAAGCTAAATGCCATTTGTATAGTGATACTGGTCGGTTGTCATTAGCTGTAAGATTTGTCCAAGGCTCCGCCCACAAGCCTGTATCCCCCATTCTCCAACACGACCATTCTCCATAAATAGACAAAAACATGATATGAAATACAAATGAAATATATAAAATGTGTTAATATGGCAATCCTAGCATTTTCAAAACAATAAAAGGTAACATGGTGATCTAAATATATATTTTTATGTGTTAGCAGTAATATTCCATAGAATAAGTATTTCAAGTATAAGTATTTACTAAGCCTGAATCATTAATCTTAAACTATTTATTCATCATTAAATCTTTCTTTATGCTTAATAAAAGCTAAAAAAGTGTAGTTGTAATAAAATGTTACTTAGATTTCCCTAAAACAGACACTGACCACTGCAGACCACACACACAAGAGCCTTTGACCCCACTGCTGGACATCACCATCTGTCAAAGTCACTCAGATCCTCAGCCCTGTCTCCTGCTTCGAACACGTCAACTTTGAGAATAAAATCTGCTCAAAAGTTGTACCTGTAAACAACTTTGGTATACCGTTTTGTTCAGGGACTCATTTTGAAGTTCAGACTATTTCATTTTGGAATAAAGAGGACAGCTCTTTTTGTGTGTTTGTGGATGGGGGGAGCTTGCTTGTTGTAATACTTTGTCCAATCTGCTTTAAGCATTTGTCTGAAAGATCTGCTTTTTCCCCAATTGCCAGGTTACTGTGGCTATATATATATATATATATATATATATATATATATATATATATATATATATATATATATATATATACCAGAAGATAAGACAATGTACAAGAGGCATCATTGTGGGGAAAAAAAAAAATTCTCAGCTTTTATTTACATTTGAAAAAGTGGCATGTCCAAAATGATTCATACCCTTTGTAAGCTGTCAGAGTCTATGGAAAAATCCAAAGTTCTATACCATTTCAAACAGCACAAGCTGTTCTAAAACTTCCTAATTTCCTTGATTCATTGGGAAGAGCTGTTTTAAACAACTGAACAGGAGAAAACAGCAGGTCTTTGCAGTTGGTTTGTGAACAGTCACGGCTAAAATAAAGGAGCTCTCTGAGGATCTATGGCTGTGTATTGTGGCTGCTCACAAGTCAGGAAAGGGCTATAAGGTCATATCTAAATGTTTTGAAGTTCCAGTGGCGATAGTGCAAAGAATTATTAAAAAATACAAGATGTTCCACACTGTGGAAAATCTCACAAGATGTGTTCAGAAGCCAGTGTTGTGCATGAACGAGTTTAAAAGAACACGTTCTTTTTTCAGTGAACTTTAAACTGAACGCAGCACATTTGTAAATCAAGAACTTGAACGTGAATTTATTCAAATTATGTCAGATGAATGATGTACATCACTGTTGGGGTTCAGTTAAATGTCGGAATTTGTTTTCACCTGATGAGTCGAGTGACAAGGGCACTCCTCAGCGTTGTCGAGCCAGCGTTGTCGCGTCGTGAAACCACAGCCGCACATCGATGCGGAAGGCGGCTCCACAGGCAGCTGTAGCAGGACGTACACGGGCGGCTCTGGCTCTGTGTTTGTCAATGGCAAAGCTTGACTGGGCGCATTTAGCCGCTTGTATCAGGTCCTCAGTGAAACTAACAGCTGAACAGGCTTGTATTTACCTTCAGGCTACCTACAGGCTGACCACGGTGAACATGAGGATTTCAAAAGTTAATTTCAAAGCACTAATAACAGTCGTTCTGGACCTGGGCTCTTTCACATGATACAGAACTGCCCCGGGAGCATGATGTGCTGATGGTAAACGCACAAGCACAACAATAGATGCTCTCCCTACGCTCGCGTAGAGCGTCAAAAAATAGGATGGATCCTATTTTCTGAAATCTTCGAGCACAGGGCGAGCTGAATGAGCCGAACGAGCCGAGCACATGCAGTGGAGCCGCCCTCCTTCATTTTCACTGCATTCTAGTTACCTGATATATTAGCACAGTTTATGCAAATTAGCCATGTGGTTTTAAGTTTTCGCTTCTGTAAGACTGATGTGTCAAAGCTACACATTATACACGCTAAAGATGACTGGGCCAAAATATCAGTGGAAATGTGCAAAAAACTGTTTAGCAATTATAGGAAGCATTGGATTATTGTAATAGCCAGTAAAGGTTTTTCTATTGATTATTGAGAAAGGTTGAATCAGGAGAAAGGAAATGAATCATTCTGGACATGCCACTTTTTGTTCAAATGTAAATAAAAGCTGAGAAATATTTTTTTCCACAATGATGCCTCTTGTACATTGTTTTATTATCTTCTGGGAGACGCCTGTGTCATTTCCAATCAAGAAAAAATTTGCTGGTTGAATAAAAGTAACTTTGTGCTCACTATTGCCTCAAGTCAAAATGTCTCATGTTTTTTATTGTTGTATTGTCTCTAATATCACGGTGTTGTGTTTTGTGTGGTGTTTTGTAGGTGCATGGCGTGTGTGTCCAGTCTGTGGGGCTGTCAGTGGAACATTCGAGACCACACCTGCAGTGACATGGACGACAGCATCTCTGGAGCTCACATCATCAAACACAGACAGGTTTGTGCTCCTAAAGTATTCCACCAGAAAGATCAGACTTCATACTGCACTTCCATTAGTCTGTAAAGGCCCATATTACCTGTTTCCTGATCAATATTGTAATGTAGATTCCTCATCACAAACATACCTGGAGATTTTGTTTTGTTAAGGTAAAGCTAAAATCTCCATTTTAAAAGGAGCCGTTCACCTGACAGGACATCACAAAGTGGAACAGAGCATTTTGAGCTTTGGAGATGAAGACACACTAATAATGTAGGATTACTCATATTTGTGAATGAAACGAAACACAACTCTATGTATGTTTTGATCAGGTAACCAGATTATAACTTGGCAGCTCTTAGGGTCAATGAATCTACTGCTCTGTGCTGTTTGCATCTAATTATAATAGATTTTTATGGTCCAAAATCAGGAAGTGCCCTCTTATCATGTTAGTTGTTGATGAGAAAACTCCATCCTGGCCTCTGAAATGCAGAGAGAAGCACTTATAAACTCATTGCCATGAATAATGAGTATGCTAGGACATGTTTATCATGTGAAGTAAAAATACAGATGGCGCACCTTTAAGCAGGCATATTTAGGCTATTATTAAAAATGATACTATTCTTTAACCTTAGTGTCAGTGTAAAATGGTTAAACGGTCCTTATAAAGAGATATTTAGCAAAAGTTAAGATAAAACTCTGTAATTAAAAATCTGTTAAGGGGTGTTCACACCAAAGCGTCAAAAAACACCTTGTCGTCTCTATTTGGACGCCTTTGCCTTTGAATTTAGACGCCCCCGACGCGCGTCTTTGACGCCGTGGATGAACCTGAGAAAAATACTTGAGGCGCGTCCGTTGCCCTGGAAACAAGAGCCCGGTCCTGCTCTTTTCCTGAAACAATGTCAGACCAGACTGAGAGAGACTTTAGTGTTTTTATGACATAAAACATCAGTGGAGGAGATCAGGTCGACGACTGGGGCGTATATATATATTTATACTCCGCTAATGACAGGATTCCCGGTCTAGTCCTTGTTTAGTCCCGGTCTAGTCCTGGTTTAGTCCCGGTTTAGTCCTGGTGTAGTCCTGGTCCGGTTCTGGTGTAGTCCTCGTGATCGGCTCGGTGATTGTGGCGTATATATTTGTGCTCATCTAATGTTTGTGGCTCTCGCTCTGGTTCTCGGGTCTTTCTTCATGATAATAACGTCGCTGCGTCACTGGATACTCATCCCTGATTGGTTGACGCGGCCCGTCTGATGCAAAAAGTTCAGCATTTTCAACTTCTTGATGCTGACGCCTTGGACGCGCGACCGTCGACGCCAAAACGCTCAAGACACGCTGCGTCGACGCCAGATTCGCGCCGCACTGACGCCGCAAAAACGGAGGATGCTCTAGTCGCGCGTCCACATAGACTTTACATTGAAACTGGACGCTTTGACGCCTTGGTGTGAACGGCCCTTGACACTTTGGTGTGAACACCCTTTTATAGACAAATCTGTGTTTGCTCATAAGTGCCATGAATACAAATAATGAAGGACACATTCAGCTACAAATACTGTCATCTTTAAAAGTGATATTAATCTGTAATTGCTTAATAAATTAAGTGAGTAAAAGCGGTGTGAATAAAAAAAATCACATGACATTAGATCTAAGGTGAAGCAGTGCATGTCTAATCCAAATCTGTCAGTGAAATGAATAAAGGCCCATATGCCGCCATCAGCTGGGACCATCTTGTGTGACGAATGCAGCAGATGTGGTGGTTACACAGAGTCTGTCGCAGCAGGCCAGAGCGGAGTCTTAAGTGATTTTTAAAAATGTATACAAATCTTTTCATTTCAATTTATTTGTGTGCTGTCTTTCAGGGAGCAAAATGTCCCAAGTTTGAGAATCCTGATCCCGTTCTCATCCCAGTGGGCCACAAGAGACGCATCCACTTCGAGGGCTTCAATCTGGATCTGTACCAGGTGAGGAGACTCATGTTCTGTCCTTAGCCAAGACACTCCACCTAATTTTCCTGTGTATGAATTTGCTTGTGTATGAATTTGCCTCTGTATGAATTTGCCTGTGTGTGAATGTGGTTGGAAGGGCCGGTGGTGTAGATTGGCAGCCTCTCTTCTGTTAGTATGTATAGAATGAATGAATAATGCAAGAAGTTGTAAAGCGACTCTCAACTAGAGTTTTGAGTAAGAATTTTCAGCTAGAGCTGTCAAAAGTATAAAATATCAGATTCTAATTGATAGCAATGCTAGTATTGAAACTTCTATTCTGACAAAAATACATTGCTGTGGTTCCAAAATCGATACCAAGTACTGAGCCTTTTCCTGAGTTTATGAAATTATTAAATGACGGTCCTCTGTTTAAATTTTGTGTTTGTAGATGGTCTCACCTGACCTTTGTGCAGACTCAGCTGCGCTCTCTGCTCTTCTGTCAGGCCAAAACTTAACACTATCAGACAATAGTAATGTAGAGAGCATTTAGTGGTGATATGTGAGAATACAACAGAACCGTGTCAGCCGTTCTAATTAGAGATAGTAGCTTTAATGAGCAATCATACACTACAGATTGTAAATGGGCTCACTGTGTTAAACACACATATAACAAACAGACATTAGTTTCATTCACTGACCGTGCTGTGTGTGTTTCAGGGTCGCTCCTTCACTATCGGGACAGAGCTGATGAAGAACGTTGAGGAGGACGTTTCTTACGCTGACACTTTTTACAGCTTCAACGGATTTAATGTTAGTCTGGACTCTGTTAGAAATGCATTCATAAAAATATAATAACAACATAACACAATAACATAATATCATCTAGACCTGTCACAATAATGACAGTATCAGCCTATACAGGGCCGCACAACACTATTACATTTTGTTTTTCTAGTTGGAAAAGTTTGTTTATTTTTCATAATATAGAAAGTAAGACAAAGCCTGCACACTTACTCCCAAACTGCATTTAATGAATGACAATGTTTGGATCAGTGGATCTTCATCAGGTCATGGTTCTCTCTGTGTGCCTCTCCCATATCAACCTTCTGCCCACTGATTGGTCAATCCAAAAGTGAGCCATAGAAGATGTCCACACAACACAATATACACTAAATATACATTAAACATGAAGCAATTACCCAAGTCCATCAATCACGGTTATCATCGGCCAAGTAGTTTTTCATAGTATGTCACCAAGAAGCTGTAGAGAATTGAATAATTAATATCTGTGATTCATTTATGCTATTACTATACAATAAAGGACAGAAAATGTGCATAACTTTATCATTTAGATTCAGACTTAAACACAGACAAGACAACAGACATTTGCCATTGTTCACAAACTAGGAACTTGCTTCGTTGTCATGGTGCAACATAAAATTGTGAAAACGTAAATATAAGTTATGATTAATTAAATATAAGGTAAAGAAAACAGTAGAATTTGAAAGTACAGGCAGAACAATAATGGAAAACCTTCAGTGCAAGTAGATTAAGTATGCTCTTTAGAATTTATTGTCAAAAACTATAGACAGCCAACTTAAATATAACTTGTAGTCTATCAAAAGTCCAGCCATACTGTCTGGCAGGTGTACAAAAAAGCTTCTGTCAATCGTAGATATCCCTGGTTTATAACTATTTTAAAAGCCCTTGTTTGGCCACACTCTTTGATATTGTCTAACGCCCTCTGCTGCTCCTGCCACCTCTTTTCTTAAGTTATTTTAGCTCCACATTGACACTTCTGTGAAAGCTCAAACTCTCCTTAGCCTGCAGCCATGTTCTTTTTCAACATCGATTTTATTTCTCTAGTTGAAAATCTGCCAAACCCTGTGTCATATTTTATGTTTTTTTTTTCTCCCCGTGGCGTTGGAGGGAGTGGCAGCCCACACTACGAGCAGAGGAAATCTTAAGTCTGTGCCATTAATCAGTGCGTTGGGTTTTAATAATTCATTTTCTTCTCATTTCTTTAGTTTTCATTCGACAAGTCACCGGAGACCAATGTGCTTTTCTACGTCAAGGACAAAGACACAGGCAAAAAGATGGACAGCACCCTCAATGGTACAGCTCTAACATTTGAATGGGAGGAATTCACTTTTTCATTTGTGGAGTTTGAGTTTCTTGTGTAGTTTTTCTAATGGTTTTCTAACCCTGAGCAGGAGTGAGTGAAAGTAAAAAAAAAAATTCACACATGTTTAACACACAAATCTTGAATATTTAGGCTGAATTCATTCTGTTCCACCTTGTGATGTCATGTGGTAATACAGGAAGTGCTCCACTTTGTTTTTTAAACTCCATACACATTCACTAGAATCATTTGGATAATCTCAGACCCAACATTTCCAATCTATTCTAAACAAATGGTAAAAGATGGCTGTTAACCTGCAAACTACCACTACATGACATCACAAGGTGGATCAGAGCATGTTGAGATTTGGAGATGTAGAGAGACTAATAAAAAAGGATTATTCAAACATGTGTGAATGAAACAAAACTCAACTCCCGTGTTTCTGATGAGATAACAGTGTGATAACATGACTTAAATCTCACAAGAGTAGACTGTGTGCAATATAGAACCTTTAATATTCATTAAGTAGAAGAAATGAATTAGTAAAGGATTATTCAGCATGTGTAGATGTGTACAATGTGGCTTTTCTGGTGAAGGTTCTGTCACCTGCCTTAACATGGTAGTAATGCTCCATAATATGGCAGTAAAGGTATGGCAGGTGATGCTACCAAGTAGGGCCTGACCGATATATATCGGTTGGCCGATATTATCAGCCGATATTGGCACCTGGAAACATATCGGCAATCGGCCAAAATCTTGCCAATATGGGCCGATATTTCACGTGGGCATGTTATACCTCGTTATAAATCTTAGACTCTCTACATTATGTTCATTTAATCCAATTTACAGACAGAAAAATGTCCAAATATGTGGCTCCACATCAGTATTTATCTGCAGAGTCATTTGTCTGTGTGTGTGTCTGTACTGTCCCTGAACACACCCCCAGAATCACGTCACTCGTGTGTTTGTTTACACCTGCGGACATAGATTCATGTGCGCAACACTGAGATTATTTTCTTTTTACGGACAATTGGTTTGAGTCTGGATTAACAGGACATTTATTAGTGCAGACTTGTGATGTGAGGAGGAGCCTGTGTGAGCGCTGAGTGTTGGAAATATGTCGAATATGTTGAAGCTAGTTTTGGTTCTTTTTCATTGTTTAGCGATTAGCTGCTGTAGCTCCCGCACATAAACAGGCTGTTTTCTTCTATTGACCGAATATTTGTTACTGGAGCTGCATTGATAGGTAAATGAGCTGTGAATAGACATGTGAATGATTGACATTTACACATATGATTAATTTCCGCAGGACGCACGCATTTACGGCTAAAAGCTAATAGTGGTAGTTTACTTTCTTTACTAGCTAGTAGTGATGGGTCGGTCGCGAACGAAATGGCTCTTAGAGCCGTCTCTTTGAAGCAAACGACGAGAGCCTGATCCTTATTGGGAGCCGTGTTTTTTCTTTCTCTCACTGTTTTTCTCTTCACGTCGCGTGCAGACTCGTGGTAGATTGACAGCGGCAGCAGCTGAAAACGAAACTTTCAGAAACATGCGTGTGCATAGGAGAGAAAAACGTGCATGTTTGTCTGTAGTTCAGCATAAAATAAATAAACCAGGACTAAGCTTGGGCTCGAGAGACAGAGAGAGATAGAGACCGAGTCCTGACACTCAGTCCTGGTTCTGTTTTGGTTTAGTCCTTTTTTAGTCCTGGTTTAGACCTGGTTCAGTCCTGCTTTAGACCTGCTTTAGACCTGGCTCAGTTCTGGTTTAGTCCTGCTTGCAACAAAACAATCTGAAGAGCCGCTTGGGAGCCGAAAGAGCCGGCTGCTTTTAGTGAGCCAAACCAAAAGAGCCGGTTCTCTAAAAAGAACTGAATACCCATTACTAGTAGCTAGAATGTGATGCAAAAATGCCATTAGGCCGACCTACTGTCTGTAAATATGATGTAAAGAGTCATAATAGTAATAATTATTGCCTAAATAAACCCCATTTAAAATCCACCAGAGCCAAACCTAAGTTTTTTAAACAATTCAAGATTGACAGTGAATTTTTACATCACTAAATATATCGGCAGCTCCAAATCCCATTTTATCGGTATCATATCGGCTGCAACAAAATCCATATCGGTCGGGCCCTTCTATCAAGTTACAGGTTAAATCTATGGAGAGGCGTCCCTGCTCACAGTGAGAAAACATGTTTTCCGGCTCTTTTACCCCCCTCAAAAAACAAAACATTAAAAAACACTTTTTTGTAATAAAGTAAATGCAAGATGAGTAAGATCTATAACATTCCAGACCAAGCAGTAACATTGCCATGGTGATATAGCACTAAAACTAGTTCTCCTCACAATGAATGATTTCCTCTTTTCTCTGTGTTTGAGTTTTGCCCATATTTTTGTCTTACAGTCACCCTGTATAACTGCGCGGTGGGTCGTCAGGACTGCAGTCTGTGTAAGAACGCAGACCCTAAGTACAGGTGTGTGTGGTGCCCCAGACAGAAGGCCTGTGTGTTTGAAGAGCTCTGCTCCTCTGTGGACTCTCACAATGTGGAGTGCCCCCATCCAGAGATCACTGACGTGAGTTACACACACATTTCATATCAGTCAGTTCAGCACTAAAACAACTGGGAGACACGCAGAGACAGTTTGGAGAGTTTGGATTTTATCACCAATTTTTGTCACAGTAGTTAGATTTCCATTATAGAACTGTCATATCTGCATGAAGGAAATGACTGATCAAAAATGTATCTTTATATATTTAGTTTTTCATTGTGAGATTTTATTTTATTGTATTTTTGTCTGGTTGCATTTTTAATAAAAATTGAATTTTCTGAAAAATACAATGAATGTAAAAGCAGCACCAAATGAAATTACTCAATTTAAACTATAAAACTAAATCTAACCTTTTTACCTTGTGTTGATACTATATTTTTGTAGTGCAAAATTGAAGCTATATATTATAGTATTGTATTATTTTTCTACAGTGTATGTAATAATAATAATGTGTATTTTAGATGTAATTTTTGTAGCACTTCACAAACTAAAAAGGCTTGCTTTAATCACATGAAACTATATTAAGACCTGCAGATAGCATTTACTCATTACAATAATTCTGTACATCTTTCTTGCCTTTTCTGCTTCTCTAATGATCAAAATGAGTGTATACTGGATTCATACAAAGGCTGAAAAGAATGCAACATTGTTCCCTGATTGACTGGGAAAACTGATGTTGCCTTGACTTTGCGTTGACCCTTGACCTTGTTATTTAGTGCATGGTGATGTTTTGTGATTAGCCGCATGCAGCATTGATGTTGCTTGTTAGTTTATTGACTGTGAGCTGGAGTAAGCTCAAAGCCTGACTCACTTTGGCCTCTCTGATGTGAGCCACCTCCCCTCACATCAATACAGGCTTTGTTCACTAATTGTCCGGGCTCATTGTCATTGACGACGGGCTTCAATTGTTTCATTGATGTGAATGTGACCAAGGTTACCACACTACATCAGCTCCTCTAGAAAACATCACTAAATACAAGGTGGAAAACAATACAAGCTTGTAAACAGAGGAGGGTCATGTATGTTTAATCAAGTGACTTTAATAAAATAAAATATAAAATAAAGTACTTATAGGAGCAATTATCAGATGTAATAGGTTTACTCTTAGTACTCTGAGTAATTATAGTATATTTTACTTGTGTTTTATTACTTGCTATATGTGGTTACAAAAAAAATAATAATAATAATTGAGAAATTCTACTACTTTATCCACTGCTGGGTCGCAGGGACTCCCAGACTTCCCTCACCCAAGACACTTCCTCTAGCTCTTCTGGAGCCTGAGATCTTCCCAAGCCAGCCCAAAGGCATAGTCCCTCCACTCTGTCCTGGGTCTTCTTCTTATCTGTGGGACATGAACTCCTCCCTAGGAAGAAATGCAGCAGCTCTACTCTGAGTTTCCTATTGAGAAATTCTTATTGCAAAATTACATATATTTAATATTGTATTTTTTTCTGTTGAGCAGCTAAATATTATACCTATATTATATTTTCTGGACCTCCTTCTGAAAATCTCTCTCAGATGAGGACGTGAACATAATTGTAATAATAAATGTAAATCCATAGTTTTCATTTTATAGCACTTTTTCTCTCTCCCACTCCTGCTTCTGTCTCATTTAGATCATCCCCAAGTTCGGGCCTCCAGAGGGGGGCATCTCCATCACCATCAGAGGGTCTAACCTGGGCATCCACCCAGATGACATCGTGAGCATCAGTGTGGTGGGGGAGCCCTGTGTGCACCAGAAGAACAAGTACTCCGTCTCCACCAGGTACACAAACAAGTACTCCATCTTCATCAGATACACAAATAAGTGCTCCAACAACTACTCTGTCTCCACCAGATACACAAACATGTCTAACCATGTACTGAAACATTACATAAACAAGTACTCGATCTCTACCAGGTACACAAACTGTACATAAACAAGTACTGTATTTTCCGGGCTATTAGGCGCGCTCTTAAGCCTCCAACCTCATCAAAAAACGACAATCCACAGTGCCCTATACACAAATCCACTCGGGTGTCCCAGCACGACTTCAGTAAACTACAAAGCCGCACCACCCACAGAACATACAAACACATACGGAGCAGACAGCGACCGCACCGCGAAACACACCCACAGACACACTCATCACTCCACGCAGACGAGGAACGGAACGGAGGAACGAACCGAACGAGCAAGTGCAATGTGCCACTTCTAGACACGACTGAACAACTGAGTCACTGCGAACACGCCGACAATCCGTTGGTCCCAGACAGCACCCTCCCTGCACGCCACAACTGAACAAAGCCCAGAGTCACCGTGAACGAACAAACAAACAAAACCACTCACCCATCACACTGTTGTGTTTTGTTTAAAGTCCAGTGTGGTTTATTTGTGAAAAAAGTTCAAAAATAGACCATTTAATGACAGTGCGCCTTATAATCCAGAGCGCCTAATAGCCCGCAAAATACTTTACTCGATCTCTACCAGGTACACATACTTTACATTTTAATTTTCAGTTTAAATTTATCCAAATTAAATGGGTTGTACCTGATTTTTACTGTCTTTAAAAAGTGTAAAACAGAACTAGTCTATTTTAGACAGTTTGCAGTGGTCCAAAGGTATTCCTCACTTACCTTATGCATTCTGAGGATCCTAATTATTCGTCATCATAAGTGCTTTCACAACTTCCACTTCCTGATTCTCAGACAATAAAAATGCTTTGTATTTATATGCAGATATTATGCAACAGACTTATTGACCTTAAAAGCCACTTATTCAATATATCTGTACTGGGAAAAAAAAATTCTCAACTACACAGAAAAACAGCCACTATAAAGCCACTTTGTTTTTATGCGAAGGCAGAGGGTACTAAGAAGTTATTTAGAGTTACATTCCCTTTTTTTCATTTACTGGAGTAATTTACGAAATTACATGCAAATACTAAAGCACCATTCAGATCCAGAAGTCTGAAGAGTCACATATTTTTACTGATTAAGATGTTGTGTTACGCTTCTGCTTATTTCATTCATTTTCTTAAATTATTTTTTACTTCAAACATAAAGTTATGCTAAATGAATTAAGTTAAATAAAGGTTTTATACTTGAATATTTAAGAAATCACTATTTATTGTATCCAAACATTTTTTTTTTTCTTCAGATTTTTCTTAGTTTTAAAACATTTTTTGATTTTTGACAGACAGCTATTTGACTACTAACTTTTCTCACCTCTGCACCCTCTATTCAGTATCCCACAGTTGCATGTTGCTTTCTCTTCTTTCTCAACCTTGGGGCTGTTTTGTATGCATTTGGGTTGACAAAAGCAGGCAGTGTAGAATGTAATTGGTTCAGTATTATAGGGCTGTATGTTTTGTGATGGATGGCTCCATCTCTCCTCGTCTTTAAAAACACACTTATTTGAAGAGCGTTTCACTCACGTCTTTGTCACACTGATGAGATAACATGCTTTACATTCTCCACAGACTCTCCCCAGATCTGCTCATGTTATACTCCATGTTATACTCAGTCTAATACACATCTGCTCATGTTATACTCCATGTTATACTCAGTCTAATACACATCTGCTCATGTTATACTCAGTCTAATACACATCTGCTCATGTTATACTCACTTTAATACAGATCTGCTCATGTTATACTCACTTTAATACACATCTGCTCATGTTATACTCACTTTAATACACATCTGCTCATGTTATACTCACTTTAATACACATCTGCTCATGTTATACTCAGTCTAATACACATCTGCTCATGTTATACTCACTTTAATACACATCTGCTCATGTTATACTCCATGTTATACTCAGTCTAATACACATCTGCTCATGTTATACTCAGTCTAATACACATCTGCTCATGTTATACTCACTTTAATACACATCTGCTCATGTTATACTCCATGTTATACTCAGTCTAATACACATCTGCTCATGTTATACTCACTTTAATACACATCTGCTCATGTTATACTCCATGTTATACTCAGTCTAATACACATCTGCTCATGTTATACTCAGTCTAATACACATCTGCTCATGTTATACTCAGTCTAATACACATCTGCTCATGTTATACTCATTTTAATACAGATCTGCTCATGTTATACTCACTTTAATACACATCTGCTCATGTTATACTCACTTTAATACACATCTGCTCATGTTTTACTCCATGTTATACTCAGTCTAATACACATCTGCTCATGTTATACTCACTCTAATACACATCTGCTCATGTTATACTCACTTTAATACACATCTGCTCATGTTATACTCCATGTTATACTCAGTCTAATACACATCTGCTCATGTTATACTCAGTCTAATACACATCTGCTCATGTTATACTCAGTCTAATACACATCTGCTCATGTTACTCACACATCTGCTCATGTTATACTCAGTCTTTAATACACATCTGCTCATGTTATACTCACTTTAATACACATCTGCTCATGTTATACTCCATGTTATACTCAGTCTAATACACATCTGCTCATGTTATACTCACTTTAATACACATCTGCTCATGTTATACTCACATACTCTGCTCATGTTATACTCCATGTATACTCAGTCTAATACACATCTGCTCATGTTATACTCAGTCTAATACACATCTGCTCATGTTATACTCACTTTAATACACATCTGCTCATGTTATACTCACTTTAATACACATCTGCTCATGTTATACTCACTTTAATACACATCTGCTCATGTTATACTCACTTTAATACACATCTGCTCATGTTATACTCAGTCTAATAGACATCTGCTCATGTTATACTCAGTCTAATACACATCTGCTCATGTTATACTCATTTTAATACAGATCTGCTCATGTTATACTCACTTTAATACACATATGTTCATGTTATACTCACTTTAATACACATCTGCTCATGTTTTATTCCATGTTATACTCAGTCTAATACACATCTGCTCATGTTATACTCACTTTAATACAGATCTGCTCATGTTATACTCACTTTAATACACATCTGCTCATGTTATACTCACTTTAATACACATCTGCTCATGTTATACTCAGTCTAATACACATCTGCTCATGTTATACTCACTTTAATACAGATCTGCTCATGTTATACTCACTTTAATACACATCTGCTCATGTTATACTCACTTTAATACACATCTGCTCATGTTATACTCAGTCTAATACACATCTGCTCATGTTATACTCAGTCTAATACACATCTGCTCATGTTATACTCACTTTAATACACATCTGCTCATGTTATACTCCATGTTATACTCAGTCTAATACACATCTGCTCATGTTATACTCACTTTAATACACATCTGCTCATGTTATACTCCATGTTATACTCAGTCTAATACACATCTGCTCAAGTTATACTCACTTTAATACACATCTGCTCATGTTATACTCAGTCTAATACACATCTGCTCATGTTATACTCACTTTAATACACATCTGCTCATGTTATACTCAGTCTAATACACATCTGCTCATGTTATACTCACTTTAATACACATCTGCTCATGTTATACTCACTTTAATACACATCTGCTCATGTTATACTCCATGTTATACTCAGTCTAATACACATCTGCTCATGTTATACTCATTTTAATACAGATCTGCTCATGTTATACTTACTTTAATACACATCTGCTCATGTTATACTCACTTTAATACACATCTGCTCATGTTATACTCCATGTTATACTCAGTCTAATACACATCTGCTCATGTTATACTCAGTCTAATACACATCTGCTCATGTTATACTCACTTTAATACACATCTGCTCATGTTATACTCAGTCTAATACACATCTGCTCATGTTATACTCCATGTTATACTCAGTCTAATACACATCTGCTCATGTTATACTCACTTTAATACACATCTGCTCATGTTATATACTCACTTTAAATACACATCTGCTCATGTTATACTCCATGTTATACTCAGTCATAATACACATCTGCTCATGTTATACTCACTTTAATACACATCTGCTCATGTTATACTCACTTTAATACACATCTGCTCATGTTATACTCCATGTTATACTCAGTCTAATACACATCTGCTCATGTTATACTCACTCAGTCTAATACACATCTGCTCATGTTATACTCACTTTAATACACATCTGCTCATGTTATGTTATACTCACTCAGCTAATACACATCTGCTCATGTTATACTCACCATGTTATACTCAGTCTAATACACATCTGCTCATGTTATACTCACTTTAATACACATCTGCTCATGTTATACTCACTTTAATACACATCTGCTCATGTTATACTCCATGTTATACTCAGTCTAATACACATCTGCTCATGTTATACTCACTTTAATACACATCTGCTCATGTTATACTCACTTTAATACACATCTGCTCATGTTATACTCCATGTTATACTCAGTCTAATACACATCTGCTCATGTTATACTCATTTTAATACAGATCTGCTCATGTTATACTTACTTTAATACACATCTGCTCATGTTATACTCACTTTTAATACACATCTGCTCATGTTATACTCCATGTTATACTCAGTCTAATACACATCTGCTCATGTTATACTCAGTCTAATACACATCTGCTCATGTTATACTCACTTTAATACACATCTGCTCATGTTATACTCACATATACTCAGTCTATACACATCTGCTCATGTTATACTCACTTTAATACACATCTGCTCATGTTATACTCAGTCTAATACACATCTGCTCATGTTATACTCACT